ACGTTCGAGATGACCCTTCCATGGCTCGAACCCTTATTTTTGTTTGCCCCTCGTGGAAGAATCAACAAACACAAAACTCACAAAACTCAACAAGGCCTCAAGCAGGAATGAGTTTCATGAACTTTTATTTTTGTAGAGTTTCACCAGAAAGTCGCTTCAGGACTTTCAGCCTTCCCTCCTTCTTCCTAACCCCATTTGGAGCGGGTCTGACACAATCTGAATACATCTGAATACTCTGATGCTTGTGACACAGTCTGTGTCAAATGTTTTTCTCTCACACAGCTTAGCCTTGTCCTTTTTCTTGAGGCGTGCGCTTCCAACGACCAGCTTCAAGCTCTTGCAAACCTGCAGAGCTCATTAGGTTCAAATGGAAGTTCAACATCAGTCAGCCGGGGCTGGGTGAAAACAAGATCGAGCCAAGCTTTCGAAAAGGTATTGGTTGGCATTGTGTGCAATGAAGCATGAATGGCTTTCTATCTATCGATATCAGTTGGTGCGTTTCCAACCAAACACTCTAGTATATAAATCTACTTCCCGCAGAACACTGCAGACATCAACAAAAATGCAGCAAAGATTTCGAATCTACAGATATGATATGTCGAAATCCAGAGGCATCTTGCTGACAAAGCTCTGAAAACACTTATGCTCGGGAGTTGGGTGCGTCAAACAAAGGAAATGAAACATGAAGGAAAGTCATGGGACACGTCTAAATCACAAGATAGATTATATAAGCTATATCCTAAGCATACTATAATGTAGGATTACAATCTTGAATTACCATGCCTTGCTCACTGCTTTGTGACTCTTGCTCAGGAGCACGCATCTGATGTCAGCATGACAGCTGCAGTCAAACCTCACAAAATATGATGACTTTCGGTCTGTTCTCAAATTACATCATGGCAGGGCACATCGTGGAGTCAATCCTAACAGTCCATCCGGAAGAAACATGAGAAAACTATAGAAAACTTGGAAAACATTCTCATGAGCAATTAACAGAAAGCTCTAGCCCTGACAATTTCTCAGGGGCTGGTCGCTGGCGCAGCAAAAACAATCTGTGTCGCCAGTTTCAGCTGAGTTTGGCAAACCTGAGTCCAGAAGGAGAGTCAAATTTGTCCTGACGAGTGGGCGATGGGCAAGCTTGGGAATGGTGGGTCACATTGCCAAGACTTTGGAAGGGTCCGGGCAAGAAAATGTTCAAAGGGGCAATTATTCTACCTACAAATTGCAGAGCAACACTATCGCGAAGACTTCTCTGTTTGTTTTAAAGCAACGCTTCAAGTCTTGGCCGGACAAAGATGATGGCAAAACTAGCGTCGATGTTAAGGGTTGTGCCACCGTTTCGATGGGTGTGCCATCATGGTTTTTTCTTTTGTGTTCAGTTTGTTACAGACAAAAACGAGTGCCGCAAAAGAAATGCTTGCGCCCCCAGTTCAGCGAGTTTCGATGACATCGCTGAAAAAAATCTGCGACGAATAGGCCAACACCGCTTGGTAAGCGGAAGACAGGCCTGACCCCCGAGCAAGCAACTCAACGCAACCGGCGTTAGACAGCCGCCAAATAACTTGTCCATTGATTTTTAAATCTGGGTCCCTAAAGAACAGATGTCAGAAACCCATCTATCTACTCAGGTTCGTCTTTGTGAGTGTGCTTTCAATTGGCAACATCGGCTCTTACATCGGGATCATAGGGGTCATGAGTGAAGGACGACTTTTGACTTTGTTTGACACTGGCCTCAAGAACGGATGGCAGAAATACCAGAATGACATGATCTATCCCTGATAATTACGGTTACGATATCATATCCAGAAGTCTACAAAACAGGCTGCATTCAAAAGGACAGGGACAGTCTTTGATGAAAACAACATGTTGATAAGTCGATGGCATTCCTTGCCGAGACAAAGAACAGTGGAAATTGACATCTGCCAGCATTGTTTGAGACTATCTTTCCAAGTCAATAGCTGACAGGGACACTCACCACCTGGGTGATGACAACATGCAGAAAAAATGCGGAATTATGCGGAAGCTGGACTGACAAGACTACTCTTGGGACCTAGGCACCATCTATGCAGCTTTTCTGCGACTTGCAATAAGACATGTAAATTGAATTGTGAATGGATTGCAGCGTGCTCAATGCAAAAATATGCCGGTCGCACTTATTTTGGTTGGACCACTCATGCGGTCTGAACATGCGGTGGGGCTTTGGGGCCTCTACACACTTTCCATGTCGTACTGGTCTCAAACACGCCATTAACGAGCCATCATGGCCTGCGCTGATGCCAAAGGCCTGTGCCTCCAAATGAATTCTGCTCAATTCTGTCTACAAATGTCGATCTACAGAATCATTCTGTGCCTTCAACTTCAGTTGCTTTTCTTATCTGAGCTGTTTGGCAAGAGGTAGCGCTGAAGCTTAGCACTGCGGCACTTTCAACAGAAGCCGAGTAAGTGGGGACATTCTCCCAAAAGGCGAAGCCACAATGCCCAGGACGTTGCACATACGTTGCACATTTTCCAGGTGTGTCAATTTGGCAACTTGATGCAATTTGCAATGTCGGTCTGCATTTCTGCAGATGTGCATGGCAAATCATCTCCCCAGTACACAGCAATCGCTGGAGCAGTCCTAGGAAAGGCTTCTGGTGACTTGTCGACAGCCAAGAAGGCCTGGAAGTCGCAGAACCGCATCATCCATTCGCGTTCATCCTTGTCCATCCTCATCCATTGTCCTGTTCAATTAAATATATTTTTTACTGAACTTTACGTCTTTATTAGTCGTTTTCTCTCCTCACGCCACTGCAGTACTCTAGTGGCTTGTTCGCATTGAGTGGTGGACATCTGCTGGAGGAACTGTCAGCTTTAACAAGTAGTATGCACCACCTCACACAAACTTCGCATCCAGATTTGCAAGACAGCTGGGCGTTTTGCGTCAATTCACATAAATTTCTTCGCTTGGCTCTAAGATTTCTGAGCCTATGAAACGAGTTGGCAGCTCCAGCATCTGAAGCTTTCCTACGCAGGGCACTTGGAAAAATGGGGGAAGAGTGGAACAGATTCCAAGATTCAACAAACTTGTGAACAGCTGGGAAGTGCTCGAAGGCCCAAGTTCTGTTTGGATGTCAAAGGTGCAGTCAACGGACTTAAATGGATGCGATGACCACTCTCGACCACTCTCACGCCTTCCAGGGTTGGTGCTGGAACGTCCTTGCTGAAACGCAAAGTTGCCTAAGCGACGAATCGAACAATCAACTTGCAATGCGTCAACTCTCTTGTCTTCTCATGTGCCATCGGGCCTTCTCCCTGAAAGAAGCATGTCCTCCAAATCGAACAAAAAGAGTAAAAGTAGATAACAATATCTGAAATTGTGTCGTAATAAGAAAACAAACCAAAGCTCAGTAAATGCTTGGTTTGCTTCTGATCATGGTTTTCGTGCCTTCTACCTATGCCCCCTATGCAATTTCGAATTTATTTCCGAGCACGAGATCTTCGAGTTCTTCTGTGCGGGGCTTCAACGTCCTGGAGTGAGGCGAAGCCGTAGCTGTGCCCCTGGCGCCAGAGAATTCTTTGAGAATCATGATTTCAGATATGACAATATGATATGCTGCAAAAATGCACTGTTGAAAGAGACCTACCGTAGATGGACGAATTATTCAAACCCTTATACATACAGCAGCCCCCCGCACCCCAAATATCAATGTTATTTTCTTGTTTGGTTCGTTCCTTCGAATGGACGAAATAAATCAAACCCCCAGAGCAGGAACAGCGCTACGAAACCATAACATTGAAATTCGGGGGAGGTAGGGGGTGGCCTATAACTAGGGGTTTGAATCAGTTGTCCATCTACTGTAGTGGCTCGTTGGTCGACGCAACGGTCACTCAGAAGAATGCTCAGGACACAGCAAGCTTGTGCCATCTTTGCGCACTACGTGAGTCAAACAGGACCCATTACGAATGTGTCACATGGCGGGGCCGCCGGTGCTGCCCAACCAGGTCAAGTCCTCTAAGCGAGTCAATGGCATCAACATGTTCTATTTTTGTGATCTGGATTGTGGCCCTCAACTGGCTACACGAATCGATCTGTCGACGCTTGAGCTGCTGACATTCGATCTGTAGAGCACCACAAGGATCACATAGATAAAACCTGCCAGCTGAGAGACTCTAAAACTGCAAAACCGTTCCTAAGTCGCTCTGTGGATAGCACGGGTCATGCTGAGTTGTTCTCTGCATAGAAAGGCCACCCAATTTAAAGGCATCGCAGTTTCAGCTTGGGCGGGTCCCATTTCTGCCCCAAATTATCCAAATTTAGCTGTCGTTCATTAATGTTTCTGATGGTAAATATCATAACTTAACTAAAAGATACTAAAAGTGTAAGTCATTCATTCAATCGCCTCAAAAATGTTATTTTGCAAATAGACCTGTGCAACCAGGGCGTGTTTCTCTGGGAGCTGCCCTTATTCTGCTCTGAACAATTCAGCGTCTTATGCTCTCGTGTCCCTACTTGGACCGCTGTTGAATTTAGTAAGGCCCTGACCAGGCTTGAAACCTGCCCAATGTGATGACATGAGCTCTGGCACGGTACATGACACATTCACTGACACATCCGGACACATTGTGACAGCATGTGACAGAAGTGCATGTGACACGTAGATCACGTAGGGTATTCCACGGTTTTCCTGCAGTCTGGTCCAGTCTGGTAAACTTAAACGAATGCACGACGTGCGCAAGAGTCTGGGCGCTCCAAGATGCTCCGCAGCCGTAAAGAGTTCAGTACAGCGACCTGATCGAGCGGAACGTTGCTGTTGGCGACTGCTAACGACGGCTAAGTCGCGCCGTTGTGGTCAAAGGACCAACGGCCGGTCGCGAAAGTTCGCGAAACAATTTGAAACAATTGGAGTTCCAGCTGTAGCAGCCAAGCTCATTTAGCTGGAAGCTCTTGTGGCTTAGAGCTCGTTCGCTGTGTTTTTGCTGGTTGGCTTCAAAATTGCTTCCTTGATCCTGCTATCCTGTCTGACAGTGACCAAAATGCCACAGCTGTTCTCCACAAAGCTCAGCCTTGAGAGGTCTGATGCAATTTTTGGCACCGAGAACAGCTCTCAATTCCTGAGTCAAACGATGAACGCCCGTTTCGAGTTCCGACCAGGTCAGGGTCTACTCCAAACGCAGAATTCAGCTCCGAAGCAGCTGACCTTCACAAAGCGAGCAGCTGGTCTCAAGCTTGTGAAGTCATTCTCTTTATCCACTAAAGCATGCCCGAGTAGAAACAAAATTGGACAAGTATGATTGAGCATGATTGAGTCATGACCGTGTAGTCATGACCGTGTAGTCATGACCGTGTCCACACCTTCCATCCTCCACCTGGACTCCAGTCGTTTGTACCAATCTGGCGGCAAAGTCCCACAGCTTCTTAAGATTCTTAGTGACATCACTTCAGGAACTGAGGTACACCTCAGAAGCTCAAAAATCTCAGAGCATGCCCCTAGCAAAACAAAGGAAAGAGAAGCAAAGAGACGTTCTGACAAAGCTCAGGAATGGGTCGGGACATGTCTGATCTCGGCACTGCCTTGATGGCCACCTGCCACACCGAGTGATGACCGTGTGACCGCCGAATATGAGGTATGCGCCGTATGCAATCTGAAAAACAAATCGAAGAACCATGACGAACCGACTATGGTTGAGTCATTCTGAGTCATTTTTGAACTTGATTGAATCGATTGAACCTAAAAACATGAAATCTAGACATATCTAGACTTGAACCAGCTCTTTGCTGCTTTCAAACCCCCTCCCGGTCACAGGTCGTTTAGGGTCATCCCGTTCAACACTTAAGGGGCATACCCAGCGAGACAGGAGCTGAAGTAAGTTGCGGAAGACAAGTAAGTTACTTGTCTTCCGCAACTTACTTCAGCTCCTGTCTCGCTGGGTCTGCCCCTCCTTTCACAAAAGCAATTTCTTTTATATTTTACCCTTTTTGCTGTGTATTTTACCCTTTTTGTTTTGGATTTGTTTAAGATGAAGCCAGGTTATGGGCCGTACAGCTCCAAGTTTCTTGTACAAGAAATTTAACATCATGCACATCCAGCATGATATTAAGGATGGTGATGTGTTGGCTAGCAAGGTGATGGGCCGTGTTTGTGGCAAAAGAAAGTAACACCATTGCATGATGATCATGTGCATGTGACAATGTAAAAGGATAGCGAAAACACTGCGCCTGCCACACAAACATGAATATATATATATATATTATATATATGGTCATCGAGCTGTACAAGGATGGGTGCAGCACTGTGAGGTTCCACCCTTGGCTCATGGTGAAGTGTGCCAAAAAGAGCAAAGATGAGCATCTGGCCATGCCTTTCACACAAGACACCCACCCATGGGTGTTTGAACCACTGGCTTTGGGGCCATCCCACAGCAAGACCGGGGCTTCTGACCCACTGCACAAGAATCCATGGCTCAGGTACTGGTCCACCAGGCTGATGGATGTTGTCAGGTAGGTGACCGGCTTTGTGGACGAAACCTTGCTGAAGCTGAGATCCTTCAAGTGAACTTGAAAATCAACACCGGTTTCTCGAGGCATATCCAAAGCAGTCTTGTAGGTCACATCCTGGCGCAAAGGGAACTCGGCCAACAACTGGTCTGTGACTTCCTGGAGGTTAGCACCGACCATGGCTTCCAAGTACTGCTGAGGGCCACCGTACTTTTCCAAGGTGGCTTTGGCCAAGGTGAAGCAAACCTCTTTGAAGTTGCCAGGGATCACATTGACTTTACTCCAGTCGTCCAAAAACAGTGTCACTGCTTCTGGGGCCAGAGACGGCTCACACTTCGTCTCAGTCACCTGGAGCTCTTCCTTTGGCGCACCCTCACTCTCAGCCATAGCCTCAAACACGTGGCTAAGTAGAAACCAGGAGCGGACACCAACTCGAACTACTTGAGAGAGGAAAAGGACTGAAAGCAACTAAGCTCAAATGGCCAAATCGAAGACTGTCTGCCCTTCAATTTTCACAGTGAGATTGGATTCCATCTTGCTTGGTCTGAGCAACACTACAATGAGCTTGAATGGGACATAGTGATTACCGTGTCCTATTGTGAACTCAAAATCACGTTGATTCATGATCTCCGGTGGGCTTCCAATTGCTCCAGTTGGGCTCCAGTTGGACTGCTGCCGACGTCTCTACTGAAAAAAGTAATCCAATTTCTGCCGAAATTGGATTAAAATTTTGGCCCTTGACTATCTCCAAGGCCCAGAAAAGGATTAACTCCACTACAGGTTCCAGGTGGTGGATTTTAACTCAAATTGCTCCAGTTGGGCTCCAGTTGGACTGCTGCCGACGTCTCTACTGAAAAAATAATCCAATTTCTGCCGAAATTGGATTAAAATTTTGGGCCTTGACTATCCCCAGGGCCCAGAAAAGGATTAACTCCACTACAGGTTTCAGGTGGTGGATTTTAACTCCAATTGCTCCAGTTGGGCTCCAGTTGGACTGCTGCCGACGTCTCTACTTTAAAAAAAATTAATCCAATTTCTACCGAAATTGGATTAAAATTTTGGGCCTTGACTATCTCCAAGGCCCGGAATAGGATTAACTCCACTATACAAGTTTCAGGTGGTGGATTTTAACTCCAATTGCTCCAGTTGGGCTCCAGTTGGACTGCTGCCGACGTCTCTACTGAAAAAAAAACAATTTCTGCCGAAATTGGATTAACATTTTGGGCCTTGACTATCCCCAAGGCCCAGAAAAGGATTAACTCCACTACAGGTTTCACGTGGTGGATTTTAACTCCAATTGCTCCAGTTGGGCTCCAGTTGGACTGCTGCCGACGTCTCTACTGAAAAAAAAAATAATCCAATTTCTGCCGAAATTGGATTAAAATTTTGGGCCTTGACTATCTCCAAGGCCCAGAAAAGGATTAACTCCACTACAGGTTTCAGGTGGTGGATTTTAACTCCAATTGCTCCAGTTGGGCTCCAGTTGCACTGCTGCCGACGTCTCTACTGAAAAAAAATAATAATCCAATTTCTGCCGAAATTGGATTAAAATTTTGGGCCTTGACTATCCCCAAGGTCCAGAAAAGGATTAACTCCACTACAGGTTTCAGGTGGTGGATTTTAACTCCAATTGCTCCAGTTGGGCTCCAGTTGGACTGCTGCCGACGTCTCTACTGAAAAAAATAATAATCCAATTTCTGCCGAAATTGGATTAAAATTTTGGGCCTTGACTATCTCCAAGGCCCAGAAATGGATTAACTCCACTGCAGTTTTCCGGGGGGGGGATTTAGACCAATTTCTGCCGAAATTGGATTAAAATCAATGAGTTTTCAAGGAATTGGATTAAGTCCCCCCCCGAAAAAATGCACGGGACTTATGCGGAAACCTTCAAAACCACAGGGATTTAAACCAATTTCTGCCGAAATTGGATTAAGTCCCCCCAGGAAAAACTGCACTTGACTTAATCCAATTTTGAAAAAAATGGCTGGCAACAGGAAAAGGCATGAGGCGCAAAGACATTTTCTTACTGAGCCCGAGCTGCACTCAAAGCAGTCGTTCATCCTGACAAAACCCTCTAACTAAGGCTTCGCACAAAGCTGGAGGAGATCTTTCGCAGTAACGGCTTAAGGACTCTCCGCCTTCTGATCCCTCAATCACTTGATGTGGTTCCGAACAATCGCAAAAAATGTTGCGAAAAGAATTTGCAATGGCAGGGCTATTTGTCAGTATACGCGTTGATTTCCTAATTGGTCGCTGATGGACTGGAGATTTAGTCCGAATCTGCACTGGTGGAAGGTGACCATCTCAATGCCTGGCCGCTCCAGTAGGGCTTGAACCCGTGGTATTTTCCATGAGCTGGCACCTGTTGGGTGCTCCAATGCAAATACACCGTTGATACCAAGCAGGTACTCAATCACAAAAAGGGCAAAATTAAAAAGGCGCTTTGCTTCCCGCCATCTTCGTCTCAAACGTGAAACTGAAGCAAGCAGGTTTCAAACGTGAAACTGAAGCAAGCAGGTTTCAGGCGGTAGTCCGCCTACGCGGACTACCATTACATTACAAAACCCGCATTTCAGACCAAGGCCCAAGATCCATGGGCCTTGGTATGCTGTATCCTATATTACTTGTATTGTTGTTTGATATCAACAGGAACTCAAAAATGCAAGAATCGACAGCGGGGCATCAAAACTGAAGTGACAACAGAGAATCAAAATTCTCAACTGCTGGAAACATAACAATGCGAGTTCACATTGACACTCCCTCACCAGCTTCATTCTGCCAATTTTGCAGCGCCAAATTGATACTGATGTCCACTTCACAAAGCAGAAAAGGAAAAGCACGTGGTCAACCACGGCCGCTGTACAATAGAATGAGCCAACGTGTGGCAGTGGATGCCCTCGAGGATAATACCCACCAAAACTTGTATGACTCTTATCTAGAAATAACCCTGTTTCCATCAGGGGTGCTGCACAATCACGGTGCAGAAAGACCTAGGACCTAGAATCCATCAGGAGACTGTGGTCACTCAAGATTTAATTATTTGCAGCTCATGGGAAAAGCGCGATTGGACTTGCTGCGTGGCCCTCGCGGCTTCTGGACAAAGTGCCTGCGAATCACATTGAACTTGGCAGCCTTCCATGCAGCCCACTTTTGCTTGGTGACTTTCATCTTCCACTGCGCATTCAGAAGAATGTAGTGCTTCACTTTCCACGACCACACCTGGCAAGTATCAGGAAAGGGGGAGTGATTGCTGGAGTTGGGCCCAGCACCAGAACCATACAGTGAACAGTTTTCCATGCCCTGGCCTGCCAAAGCCCAACATAGTGAGTTCGTTTGAACCATTGCCCAAACTCATCCTTCCACCACTCGACGCGGTGATAGTAGGGCTTGCCGCCAATGTTCCGCTGCGGCGCCATAGCTGGGCGATGGGCGGCACGGCACGGTGGTTCGAAACTTAAAATTCGCAGGGTAGTCCTCAAATGTGTCCAGGTCGGCCGAAGAACATGATTACACTCGGAGCACTGGAAAAATGGTGCAGGCTGTTTGGTGAAAAAGTGTCTCATACGTTTCGTAAACCAAGGCCCAATAAATTCAGCCGATGCTTTTGGCCTTGGTGGCACGCTCAATGTGGGAAGCATCCAGTCCTTGACCAAAGCCAAGGCCTGCGGGCTGATCGCCATGTCTCGAAAGTACTTAGGACTGACTTGGGCCTTGGTGGTTTACCAAGGACCATGATTGTTCCCGGTGAGTCACTGATCTGTTTTCAGTGAATCTACTTTGTTTTTCTTTATGTCAGTTGGGTGGCATGTCCAGACCCACTTAAAACCGAGGACCCAATGTCATCAAGGTCCTCGGTGCATGTACACACAGTGGGCAACTTACTTACGGTAATTTACATGCATTAGAAAGCGTTGCCGGATGAATCTGAACAATGACCGACCTATGTGTTATGATTAGCACGACGAATATATATATATATATATGTTTTTTGTATATATTCATGTGTGTGTGGCAGGCGCGGTGTTTTCGCTATCCTTTTACATTGTCACATGCCCATGATCATCATGCAATGGTGTTACTTTCTTTTGCCACAAACACGGCCCATCACCTTGCTAGCCAACACATCACCATCCTTAATATCATGCTGGATGTGCATGATGTTAAATTTCTTGTACAAGAAACTTGGAGCTGTACAGCCCATAGCCTTGCTTCATCTTAAAAAATGCCAAAACAAAAAGGGTAAAGTACACAGCAAAAAGGGTAACATATAAAAAAAATGCTTCATCATGTTTTTATGCACCTTCTTCGACTTCTTTACTTTCACATCTTTTCGCATCTGTTCACATTTTCACATCAACTAAGGTTTCCTTCTATTGCATTTCGCCCTTCTCGAGTCACATGTGTCACATTGTTTCACCATCTGTTCCTTTATTTTCCATTCTTTGTTCTTCGGCGGCACCTTGTTGTCAATGATGGCTGCATAAAGACCGTGGCCTCAAGAGCTTCCACTCGGAACCGAAGACATGTCGCGTTTTGAACATATCATCTCCAAATTGACATCAAATTAGTCTCATAACGTTTTAACCTATAAGGCATGTATTTTAGCATATCTAATGTCACATATCTCATTTCAGTTGTACATATTCTGCAGTCAAATTAGTTGCTCTGGATAACATAACAGGTGATCAGTTGATCAAATCAAAAGGGTGCAATTGCAAGCAATGAGAAACCACATGCTGCACCGCAGTCAGAGGTCTTAACGGAAACGAAACTGATACGTCTTTTGCGCTGTGTTGTTGAGATATGCTGAGACGGCCGCTGGCGCACAGGATGTTCAACTGCGATGTGGAGTGGATATTGGCCTCTTGCATCAGTTTGCAAAGGATCATTTGCATGGAAATCGACGGGCTGTCGGAGAGATAACGATGAAACACAATGGGGACAATGGGGTCAACAAAACTCTGCCAGCTGAGATATTCAATACTCTGCCGCAAGAATTACAAAGTCTGACATCTGCTAAGTCTCGAACGTCTCTTCGGACAGCACCTCAAGAGGTGGCTCTTATTTTCACTCAATCCCCATGTCTTCACCACAAGTCAGAAAACACCAATGTACTTTAAGTTTGTACAATCTTGCAAACTTCCTGCAAAACTTCTGTTGAGTTCTTTGAAGTCTGGATCTTTTGTCGGGGTCAACCTCAATGTGTTTGATCTACTTTGCATGCACTTGTACGATTCCAAACTGCGTCCCATCGTGGCCCCTTGGCCCCTTGGACCCTTTGCAGGTTCCCTTAGTACCGCTATATTGTGGGTTTTCCCCCTGCTCCCCCACATCTTTGGCCCCAACACAGCTCCAGCAACTTCTCCCTCACGTAGGGCGCTCTCACCTTGGCTAAGGATTTGGGACAGGGCACTGACGGCCACAAGGTCATTCCATGGTCAAATCCTCAATTCGTTGTAACATATTGTAAGATACTGTAACATGTACCATGTACCGATGACATATAATTAAACATCTTTGTAACATAGTATGTTAAGATATTAAATGTTTGACCTTTAATGCACCTTCTTTGAATTCAGAACAGAAAGGAGGGGAGTATGCAGCAGTGCCAACACCATAGCACTCTGCAGATCGGAGTCACGCTTGCAGTGGGGACATGCCACCAAAAAATGATCAAAGGACTAGCCGACTAGCCATATCGACCAATTTATCTTGCTTGATGATTGTCACATATTGAAACCACGCGGGGCAGATCCGTCAACAATTTCACGTTCACATGTCAACAGTGTGAAAAGTGTGAACAGGATGAGGATCTGCCAGAAATGAACAGGGTAGCGCAGGTCTTCCCACGAGGCTTTCCTCCTGAGGGGCCCGACATAGTCCCAATAGAAGACACAGGGAACACCTGGATGGGTCAGGATCAACGCATAGCCGCGTAGTGCCTGGCGAAAAACACAGGTCGGAAGGGGATCACTATAAACACACATTAAACACACTATGGTTCACCAATGGTTCACCAATTCACAATAGTTGTATGGAATAACATGATTAACATGCAATAACTTGAAATGTACAGACCTTTTTCCTCCTTTTTCCATGCACAAGAATAAAATGGAAAGAGATTGGCAGTCCGAGACAAGGTCTTATAGGAAGACAATGCAAAATGCATGATAGCAGCAAAGGAAATGCTGAATGCCGCTGTTGCTTTTGCTCTGAAATCTTTGAACAAGCCTTGCCTGATCGTTGTTTCCGAAGCAGCCACCCACCTTGAGAAATCGACAAAGGAACAAAGATGAACAAAGTTGCTTTGGCAGGATACACAAAGGAACTGAGAAAAAGAGCTGAGAGCAGAAAGGCACTGCCCGCAAATGGACGGCAACGGTCAAAGCTGACCTGGCCCTTCGTGATGCAGCCAACCAGTG